TCATGTATCAGCTGCTCCTGGCCTGTCTAATATTACACCAACGTATTCCCAAGCGCCGCAAGCCCCCAGGTTGGGGACATCACATGCATCCTCATACTTGTGAAAATGTAGCAGCATGATATAAAGGACGGACAGAAGAGCTGGGGTTTTCTGTAGAAATGAAGGGGAAGCAAGAAAGGCAGGGGGGTGGCAGGGGTCTTCTCCTGAGGGGCTATGGGCCCGCCCCACACTCATGCGTGTGTGTGTGCATGTGTGTGTGTGTGTGTGTGTGTGTGTGTGTGTAAGGAGGGGTAGATGTAACAGAAGCCTCAGCGGAAGGGGAGGGGTCCCCGGCCGGGCCCCCTGCTTCCCTGCAGCATAAGAAGACACTTAGAGCCTGGCAGAGAACCGGACACAAAGAACAACAGACATAGCAACCAACATCTGTCCCACAAATGTTGATTGAACACCTACTGCTGCCAGTGTCCTGAGCACTGGGGAGCCAGCCGTGAAACAACACAAACTCAACCTCCACCTTCACGGAGCTGGTGGACCACACACAAAACAAACGAGGAACACTGAGGAAAAGTCAACGGTGGCAAATGCTAGCAGAAAAATCAAGCAGCAACAGCATGGGGAGATAAATACTGAATGGGGTGCTGGGAAAGAGCTGACTTCAGGAAGTTTCCAGAAACTGTCCTGTGGCCAACTGGGGGAAGAGCATTCCAGGCAGAGGGAAAGGCAGTGCAAAGGCACTGAGGTGGAGTGTGCCTGGTGTCAGGAGCCAGTGTGGCAGAAGCCAGTGACCAGGCGGGAGAAGGAGAGGACCCCAGAGAGGCAGAGAGGCCATGTAGCCAGGGAGGGGCTGAGGGCCACCTTCACGCAGGGCCTCAAGCTTTGGGGAGGATGTGGCTTTGACTCTAAGTGGGGGGCGGGGCAGTTGTCAGAGGGGGGCTGTGCAAAGGAGAGACAGGATCTGATGACTACTCAGATGCAGGGTGGCCAGGGGACTGGCAGGGGTGGGGGCAATGGTGGAAGCGGGGGGGCTGCTGCCCAAGTCCACAGGAGAGACGTGGGCGGCTCGGACAGGTAGCTGCCCAGAGGTGACCAGGGGCACTCACACACCCAACAGGTGCCCGGTACTTCCCTGCACTATTTCACTGAATCCTTGCACCATGAGCAGCTGCTAGTTGCTCTGATCTCCCTAACCCCATTCTCCAGGGCAGCAAACTGAGGCCCTCACCCAAACCACACTGCTAAAAAGAGGCAGTGCGTGGCATCCATCCTTCTCAAGAGGGAGTGGGCACTGTCCCACCCATGACAGGGGAGAGAGTGGGTCTAGAGTCGGGACACCAAACGTCCAGCTCCTCCTCTCCCTTCTTTCTGGCCGCCCCTATCCCGCTTCCCTCCAGCCACGCTCACAAGCCCTCCTAGACCCTGCCACCCCATCAGTCCTCCGGAGCCACCCACCTCCTGAGGTTCCAACACACACTCCCTGAGACTGAAGTCCAGCATCACCTGTGCTCCCCGTCAGCACAGCTACCTGCCCGCCAGCCCCACCTGCCCGCCTCCAGACCTTCACTCGAGACCCCTCCAGGCCTTTCTCTGCTGCCCCTCCAACCCCAGTGCCTGCGTCTGCACCCACCCGAGTCTTCCGAGCATCTAATCCAGAAGAGAGATCCAATCTGCGTGAAGGGCTTGGGGTAATTCTGTGTCGAGGCCACACTTCTCTTTCTGTTTGTTGAAGGAGGCTGATGCTCCTTCTTGGAGGAAGGAGAAAAGCTTCCTTTGTGCCGGGTCTGGGGAGATTGTGTCTGTTTAGGACAGGCTGCAGTTTCCTTTGTGAACACCGGAGATTTTTCGTGTGGGAAAAGGGTTGATTAGATTTCCCCGTGGCTGCGCAGAATGGGGAGAGGTTTCTCTGAGCACAGAAAGAAATTACCAAACAGGCGTTTGAGAGGAAGGAACATTGAGCAGCTGCTTCTCACGGAGAGGTTAGTATTTCGTGGTTGGTGTTTTCATTGGAGCGAACATAAAATGCAGAGAAAGGGAGAAAGCCTTCCCTGTAGTTTCATGGGCATGAGGGAAGGAAGTTGGTCCTTGATGTTCTGGCGGGGAGGACAGGATTTTGTTTGGGGGGAGGAGGGCTGTTGGGGTGTTGTTGTTTTTTTTTCTCTTCAAGTAGAAAATAAATTTTAAAATGGTCGCAGAACCCAGAAGAAAGGTTGTCATAGCAACAAAAGTTTGAGGCCAGGTACCTCCTGACACCCTTTCAGTACCGTGACCGTGGAGGGGCAGGATTTGGGCACTGTAGGATCAGTGGGGGAAATCATCCAAAGCTTGGCTCAGACCTCCCAAATTTCTCACCAGCACTGACAGGCTGATAACTATTTTCCAAGCTCCCAGGGAGGAAAATTGTGATTTTCTGGGAGGGGCGATCTCTAGCCAACAGTGATCAAGAGGAAAGAGAAAACTGTGGGTTTGTTTTATTTACCCAACAAACTAACCATCAATGTTTTTACTAACCAAGGACTGGGGGTGAGGGTCTTATGCTGAGCCCCCCCAGATCACGCCTTTCTCTGACCCCCAACTGTACCATTCTCTTCCCTGATCACTTCATTTTGATTCCTTTGTGCCCCATGAAGACAATTCAGGCCCCCTCATCAGCTGTGAGGCCAGACGAAAACCTCTCTTAGCTTCAAATTCCTCATCTGAAAAATGGGCACCATAGAAGTGTCTGCCACAAGGGCGTTGGCAAGGATTCCACGAGATCCGGCCGGCAAGAAGTTTTAACAGTGTCTGGTGCACATGAAGGGCTCAATAAATGTGAGCTAGCATTGTTTTTAATGAACAATTTTTTTAATGCTTAGCTTTAAACATCCTGTATCAAGCCCTGGAGGAGCTACACGGACAAGCTACAGGGAAATAACTGCAAGACTTGGGGGGCGTGACCTTCAGGAAGAAGCTAGGAGAGACCTCAAACAACTGAGAGGCTCAGCTGGCCAGGGAGGGCCCAGGCACTCCATGGGGCAGAGACAGGACAACTCCGCTGCAGGATACAGCATTGGATTTAAGTGTGTACATAAAGGAAAGGGCAGGGAGTCTGCGTTTTTACAGGAAGGAGAAACTTGGTGAGAGGCGGAGGTGAGGTGGGGGGACCCCACCCCAAAGGGTGTAGATATTTCCCAGGACGAGGCATTCCGAGGCCTCCATGGGAGAGGATTGGGCTGAGCGGAAAGCAGGGAATTTTAGCCAAGATGTCCTTTAAGGTTAATTATTATTAAATCATTAAATTATTATTATTACATCCCAGAGTAAAAATTCAAGTCCTGAGTGCACACCAGAAGTGAGTCTGATGGGGTGAAACTGGTCAGGGGTGGGACCCTATTCGGAGTGTCTTTGGCAAACAGCTGGCATGAAGCAGGTGGTCTCAGGAAAGTTCAGTGGGGCACCCCTCCAGGCAAGACAGAGCAGGCAGCACCCCGGGAAGCCTCTGGCTCATGGTCCCGAAGCCTCATCCAACATTTATACTGCAAATAGGTATTGAAGACCTTCTATGCACTAGACGGTACCCAGAAACTGGGCATGGCAATGAACAAGACGGCTGGGGCCCTGCCCTCATGGAGTGACATCCTAATGGGTAAGGGGGCCAAGAAGCTGGTGACCAAAGGCATGCCCCCAGAAAACTTCAGGTGTGCCAAGTGTGATGGGGGAGATAAAAATGGTGATGAGCTACGAAGATGGGGAGACCCTGCCTCCAAAGGGGGATAGGGAGGTCTTCTCTCCAAGGGACCCGGCCTGGGAAGGCGGGTCAGGAAGTCCCATTGGAGCTCAGGAGGAGCCAGCCAAGGAAGATGTGGGGAAGGGCATTCCAGGCAGAGGCAGCAGCCTCCCCGGGTTCATTTCACACCTTCCTCCCTCTGTCCTTTAAACCAGTCAGGCCAACGCCGTATTCAGGACAAACTAGCGGTTGTGGCCCACTCCTGTCTACATGAGACTACACACATAGTCCACGCTGACATCGAAGAGCTAGGCAGGCACGGGGAGTTTTAACCTTGGGCAAAGAGGTCAATTCCACTCAAGAGGGTCCCCAGACTTGGCCTCGGAGCAACATCGTCTGGGAGGTACCGGGTGGTGTGGACCAGCGTCCCCAGCATGTGGTACAACCACCGCCAGGCAGCTTTCCCCTGAGCCCTGCCCTAGCCTCAATGCCTGCCTCGGCGACACCTACTCCGGCCCTGGCTGCCTCCGGCGGCAGGTCCAGGAAAGGGTGCGAGGCCGAGGGAACAGTTTGATCTGCCTTCTGAAGAGTCCCCCCCACCCCGCGCCCCAATTCTGATCCGAGCCTCGCCGAGCTGTCCCGCTTTCCCGCCGCATATTCTCCCGGGCAGGGGCCGGGACGCGAAGGGCTCCCTGCCGGGAACCCACCAGACTGCCCCCACTCCTCACTCCCGTGCTGCCCAAACCCGGTCCGGGAGCGGTTTAGTGCGGGCTGGGGATGGGGGTGGAAGAACGAGCCCCTCGGCTTCTGGCTCTGTGGATCTGCGGTGGAAGGGGCGGCTGACAGCAACAGTCCCTGCGCCAACACCACCGCCACCCCAGGCGGGAAGGGATGGATGGGAGTAGCCAGTGCCCCGCGAAAGGAAGAGGGGGAAGGGGCGAGCGTGGAGATGAGTTCTGGCTCGGAAAGGAACGGGGTGGGTGCCGGGAGACGCGCCTCTCCAAGGCGCGGCGACGTCCCCACAGGCGCCTGGTGCTCGTAAGGAGCACAAGCTCTGCCCGAACCTTGAAACGGCGGAGCGTCCCGAACGCCATCATTCGACACCCCCGGACCTGCCCACCGCGCTCCCCGCCCCCGAACGTTCGGCCGAGCCTGCGGAGCGCGGGGCACGGCGTCCTGGCGGTGGCGCGGGCCCCCGTCCCGGGCGCGAGGAGGGAGCGCGGGTTTGGGTCTGGGGCGCCGGGGCCGCGCAGCCCGGGGGAGCCGGGAGCGGAGCCCCGGGGCGCCGCCGCTCACTCACCGAGCCCGCCGAGCTCCTCCTCGCACGAGTACCAGATGCCGGTGTGGAAATTCCTGAAGAGGAATCGGTCGTCGCCTGTCTCCCAGCTGTAGAGCTCGACGCCAGGGGGGCCGTTCCCTGCGGCGGCGGCGGCGGCGGCGGCAGCGGCGGCGGGGGCGGCGGTGCCGTTGGCCGTGGCGTTGGCGCCCGAGTTGGGGCAGTTGGCGCTCCCGCCCTGGCCGCAGACCGGCTTGGGCACCCGCTGCGTGCCCTGGCACCAGTGAGTGGTGAGGAAGGCGGTGGTGGCGAAGAGCAGCGCCAGCAGGTTCAGGGCCACGGCCAGGAGCGCTCGGCCGCGGCGGTTCGTCTTCATGCCGCCCGCGCCGCCGGGACTGCGCCGCCGGGGAGCTCCGCGCGCGAAGTTGGCAGCCGGCGCCCCGCGTCAGCGGCCGCTGCCCGCCGCGCCCCGGGGCTCGGGCGCCTGCGATGGGCGGCGGCGGACGCGGCGCTGGCCCATGCCCCCGCCCCCGGGGTGGGGGCGCGGCGCACGGGGGGCGCGGGGGGCGGGCGGTGGCGGAGCGGCTCCTGCGCGCCCGGAGCCCGGAGCGCGAGTGCACCTCGGCGAGGAGCCGCTGGCGCCTGGCAGCGGCCACGGCGCAGGGACGCGCGCCCCTCCGTGGGGAGACACCTGCAGGCGGCCGGCGACACTGTTCTGGTTCCCGCCCTCACTGGGAGAGGGGGCGCCCCACGCCGGGCGCTGGCGGGGGCCCGGCAGAGAAGGGCGCCCTCTAAAGAGACCCGCACCCGAGTGGAGAGTCTGAGAAGCAAAGAGAGTGCCAGAGAAGGCGCTCTCGGAGAAAGAGGCTTCCCACCGGGGACGTGAGGCAACAAAACCAGCCAGGAGGGGTCATCTCACGCAGGAACCAGAGAAGTCCCGCCCTCTGGAGAGAAGGGCAGAGCCTGCTGGGGCTCCCCACGAGGAACATGGACCCGCAGCACGCTCCCCCAGAGGCCCGGTAGGGAGCCCCAAGAAGGAGCCCCAAAGAGTCTGAGCTGCAGAGTTGAGTTTTTTGGGCTTCCCACACCCAAGAAGCAGCAGGGCCCACTGAAAAGGATGCCTCATTACTGATCCTGGAGTTGCAGGACCTGTCAGGAGGGGTACCTCACCAGAAATGCGGGGTTGTAGAGTCTAAAGGGCTTGTGCTTCCCCTGGGGGTCTCCCAGGGAGATTTGGGCTGTGTGAACCAACAGGACAGGCTCCCCTGGCAGGATGAAGCTGCAGTCACCTGGGCTCCTTATCATGGCATGGTACGGCACGAAGGGTGGCAAAGAAGTGTGCCACACCGGATGCCAAGTGTTGGATATGACGAATGGGACTTCCCCATGCAGGCATCCCCACCCACCTGAGATCCTTAGCAGTATGACCCAAGGAGGTACCACACCAGACACAAAGTTGTTGCAGTTATCAGGCAGGGGTGCCCTACAGAGGCTGCCAACCCAGAATCTCCAAGGTGGGGGGTGGGAACAGAAAGGTCAAGAATACTGACTTTGGGGTCAGGCGACCCTGGGGCTTGACCAGCTGTGGGCTTTGAACAAGTTATTGTACTAAACCTTTCTGAGTCTCAGTTCCATATCTATAAAAAGGTGGAGGAATATTGGGCTGTCGGAATGAGATCACACCTGCAAAAAGCACTTGGCACATAGTACGTGCTCAATAAACGCTGGCCATCATTATTATTATTATTAACATCTGAACCAAGATCAGAGAACTAAATTCACACAGACCTTTTCAGGATCTCTTGTGCAAGGTGGGATTGCCCAACTATGAACGCTCCATCCCCACCTCTGCTCTAAAATAACCATGACCCCTGAAGCCCCGTCACACTGCAAAGCACAGGGTGCCCGGATGCCCAGGATGTGCAACAGTTAATTGCATGTTGATTACAAGAGCTCATCTGAATTCTGCCCAAGCTGAGAACTGCTCCAACAGCCCCCTGCTCGTGGAGTGGCAGGGCCTGCAGAATTCAAGGTTAACGGATTATGAATTGCCTTACTCTAGTGGGTGAGCCTGTGCTCCCTGGCAGCTGGTGCTACTTTGCCTGGGGGTAGGTGAGAATAATTGTAGGCAACGTTCCTGGCAGGAACCCATATGAAGGATGGCCGAGGGTCTCCAGACTTGTTCATTAGATCCCTTTTCTGGCCCTAGGCAAGGCGTTCCCAGCTCTTTTGAGGAGGACCTCCATTCAGTATTGAGGGTATTGGTTGAGAGAGAAAATACATCATGGCCAAACAGCTGAAAAGAATTCAGTGACACTTTTAAACGGCCGAGCAATATTCATCGGAGGAGTATCTGTACACATTTGAAAACCAGTCCCTCGGATGTTGGCTTGAGACAGTGGTTCATGTGCATGTGTGTAGCACTCAGGGACCTACAGGCTGGGAACCCTGTCCTGGGCATTCAAAGCCGGGAGAGCCCAAGTGACATATGTCTCAGGGACCACACTCTCTTAAGAAGTACCCAGAGGAAGCACAGAGGGGTTTGAAATTTCCATCTGAGACAGTCTTCCACTCTCTGAGTGCCCATTGGATGCTCAGCATCAGAGAGAAAAGAGCATGAACAGCATTAATAAGTACGTTGTAGAGTCGGCAGGTGTTAAGAGCCAAGGAGAATAATAAAGCAGGGAGGAGGATAGAAGTGAGGGTAGCAGATTGTGATTTTAAATCAGGGCTTCAAGGAGATCTCACTGGGAAGTTGACATTGGAGCAAAGGCTTGAAGGAGGGTGGGAGCAGGCCATGGAGATATCCCAGGAAAGGAGGTTCCAGGAAGAGGGAGCAGCCAGTGCAAAGGCCCTGAGGTAGGGGATAACTGAGAAAGCGGTGTGGCTGGAGATGAGTGAGCAGGGAGAGTAGAGAGGTGATGGGGGGAGGGGACAGGTCATCATGTGTGGAGTCAGTTACAAGGACTCCAGCATTTACTCTGAGTTGGGTGGGAGCCTGGGGAGGTTCTGAGTAGAGGAGAGACATATCTGACTTGGAGTATAACAGGACCACTCTAGATGCTGAATTAAGAAGGGGGAAACAGAGACCAGCTGGGGGCTAGTGAGTGAATCCGTGCAAGTAATGCCAGCGGCTCAGACCAGGGTGGTTGCAACGAGGTTCTGCATCTGTGTCAATTTTCAAAAGCAGATCCAGCAGGATCTGAGGTGGGATGTGTAAGACGCCTTTGAGGTGTTTGGCAGGAGCTCCTGCAAGGACAGAGCTTCCCTGTGCTGAGCCCGAGCAGGTGGGGGCGGGGCGCGGGGAAGCTCCAAAGTTCTGACTGATGTTGCCCTGGACCTTGTACTCGAAGTGAGGATAAGGACCAGGGGGTGGAGATTGTGCCACCAGAGGGCGCCACTGCATGTGTCTACACACCCTTCCGGAACCGAATCCAAACTCATGAGCAAGCCCCTTGGATAGGATACGTATTTTTATCCTCAAATAATGTTACAGTTGCCTTGGGTGTGGACAGGTGTTAAAGAAAAATTATCCATGACACTTGTTAAGACGGTAAGGCAGCCTTTATTCAGGGACCACTGCAAAAGGAGTTTTGCCACAGGAGAGAGATTGGGCTGAACTCTGAACACAGGGACAAGAGGGAATTTATCGCCAAGGAGCAGGGGGGCGGTCGGTGGGCAGAGGAAACCTCAGGGCTGGGGGGATTCTGGCTAAAGCGACTTGACAGGATTCCTGCTGAAGGCGGCCCAGCAGGGTAAGCTGTCTGGAGTGGGGAATGAGGAACTTGATTGGGTTTCAAGGATGAGGGATTCTTGCTAAACTGAACCAGTAGGATTCTTGCTAAAACTGGAGTAAGCCGGCCAAGGACAGAGCCAAAGGTCAGGGCCTAGTTGAGAGAAGGGCTCAGAGGAGCCCGACTAAGCTTTGGTCAAGGAGGGTCTTTGCCTGGGGTGGGGCTGAGGTGGGGAGGGAGCTTGTTTAGGAGGCCAGAAATGTGGGCCCAAGCCCCTGTCCCCTCCTCTTCAGACACTGTCAAAGGCCAAGGCCTCCTGTCTCCCAAGACCCCCGACCAGGGATTGAACCCCGGCCACGGCAGTGAAAGCACCGAGTCCTAACCACTGGACCGCCAGGGAATGCCCCCAGTGCCTCTGTTTAACCTGCTCAAGTACTGCCCTCTGCCGGCCCCAGGACAAAGTCTAGATGCCCCAGTTTGCCTTTCCAGGTCCTGTATGGCTGGCCCTGCCCACATCTCAGCCCCTCCCATGCTGCCGACACACCAAGCCACTTTGCGCTTCCTGATAACCATGGCTGGGACAGTCCCCCAGGCCTCGCCCACCTCCCTCCCTCCCCCTCCCTCTGCCTGGATGCCCTCGCTGTGCGTCATTCAAAGTGCTGGTCACACATCGCTCCACGCACGGCAGAGCCTTCCTTGGCTCTGTCCTTCTCCGTCTGGCCCTTCATCACCCCTCCTGTGCTGTGATGTCTGTGTTCACGCTCATCTCCCCCACGGGCCTGGGGGGTCCCTCAAGGTCACCTCCACCGGCAGCCTGCAGGCCAAGTCTGGCCCATGAGCATGTTTTGTTTGGCCTGGTTGGAATTGGCCTCCACAGGGTGCTAAATTTTCATGAGTTGCCAACATTCAATAATCATGATTTCACATAAAAATCTAGACTTTCAGCTTCTCTGGCAAGATCAAGTTACCTGCCGACACCGGGCCTGCATTTTTGCCTGGCAACCATTGCCAAAGTTCCCCGTAAAGCGGATCACAAGGGACCACAGTCCCACTGGGCCCTTCCATCGTTAGGGACACCTGTGGGGAGCCCCTGGGGGCATTCAAATTTGAGAACCTGGAATCAAGGCCCCAAACATTTTTGATAACACCATTTGGCACGTCTGTGGTGCTAGAAGTCAGGGTGATGGTTAGTCTCGAGGTGGCAGAGTGACTGAAAGGGGCCCCTGGGGGTGGGGCTTCTGGGGGCTGGTCACATAGGTGTGTGCACTTCATGAAAACTCATTGAGCCATACAGTTGAGAACTGTGCCCTCTTTTATATTCAAAAAAATTTACCAGAAAAACTGTTGCTGTTAATAATGAAATTCATACTTTTTAGGAACCATGAATATGCTTTGAAGGGACACGACCCAAATGCATCTCACTTTCTACTTGGAGTGGACTGCTGCAAACACTCTCACCAGCTTCTGGACCTCCTAAGTCACTTCCTGTTTTCTTTTTCTTTTTTTTTTTAAATTTATTTATTTGTTTTTATTTTTGGCTGTGTTGGGTCTTCGTTGCTGCGTGCGGGCTTTCTCTAGTTGTGGTGAGCGGGGGCTACTCTTCGTTGCAGTGCACGGGCTTCTCATTGTGGTGGCTTCTCTTGTTGCGGAGCATGGGCTCTAGGCACGT